TGTTTTTGATGGAGATGAATAAGGTCTTTCAGTTGTTGAGACTTTTCTTTCATGGGGGCTCCTTTGCCACTTATCTCTTCTGATTCTTTCATAATGTACTGAACCTCATCATTCAGTTGCTAAGAAATTGAAAGGAATTTTAAAAATTCAGCTTTTAAAGAGCTTTTTGTTCTACAATTGACAATATAAAGATCTAAACAATGACTCATTCTCTCATTTGTTAACAAACACTTATGAACCCCCCAAATCTGGGCATTGCACTGGATGTTAGGGATACAGTGTTGCCACCTCATCTTCTCGGATATTAAAAAAAAAATTTATGAACAAGGCAAAAAAAGTGTCTTAAAGCTAGATAGGAAAATGGAAAGTCTTGTATTTCTATGGTATACCAAATATTCTAGTCATCTATTAAGTAAATGTTAGATACTTTATGAAGTTCCATGATCATCTTTGACACTTAACACAGACTGGAATCAGGTGGTATGTCAAGAACAGCAAGAGAAGATAAGGGCATAAATACATCAGAATTATTTGTGCTCTGTGAGAAAAGAATGATTAGAATGAACCACCAGCTGACCAGCACAGTAGATAGGCTGCTTTAAAAGAGGTCATCGCATAATCCACAAATAGCTACCACATGTAGGGAGGGATAAACTACCTTCCCTTTTACCCAGCCCTGCTCAGATATCCCTTATAAGAATCCAGATTCTGGAGTAGAACTTGCAAAAGGTGGATGACATAAAGAGGATGCTAATTTCAGGAATGAATCTTGGATCAAAGGTAGACGTAACGGAAATGATTTACGTGAAGGAGATAATTTTCAGAAGAATGACCTAAATAGGTTCTTCAAGTTCAAATCAAGGATGTAGGCATCTAATATCTAAGCGCCACAATGACAGAGCTAAATATGCTCAACAGTGGTTCCTGATGATTTAGAGGAACTTACATATACACAAAAACAAAATGCAAAGAAGCATGTAACACAGGATATATTAAGGAACCTAACATAGGCTAGTCACATTTTCTGAGAGTTTTGATGAGTTTGCTGTGGGTTACAATGGAGTGTGTGTGTGCAGTGGGGGTGGGGGTGGGATGGCTATATTTTAC